CCGCTCTTAGATGCAACCCACAACACTATACTGTCAGAATCATGACCCAGTGCAGGGCTCAAGCTGCACTTTGTTCTGAATCTTGATAAACTGGTTCCCAAGCAAGTACCTGTAATTGCTTTCCTCTCTCCTTTTTCCAGCTTTGCTTGCGGGGACTCAGAGTAGACACCATGCTCCATGGGCTGCTCCGCCCTCTTCATTGCTGTGCCTTTGTAATTCATCTGAAGTTGGCTGGTGTACTTCTCATGCTGCAGAGACAAAAGCAACAGTCACAGGGTGCCCGTGCAATCTGTGTGCAAGCACATGGAAAAGATAAAACACCCTTCCCTGCAAACAGATCACGCAAAGGCAAATACTGCAGTTATGTTCTGCAATAAAAAGAAAGCACACCTGAGTAGTGGCCACAGAACAGCAGAAATGCCAGCTGAGAGGTTTTCAAATACCCCATTTGGAAGACATTAAGTGACAATTCTAGTCCATGAGAAGGTCACCGTGACTTAGCTCTGCAAAATAGCTAATTAGGAAACCCTTTAAAGAATAAACTGAGAAGAATCAGAACTTAGGCCATTTTCCATTCAGGATTCAAATCCTGAAATCCCCTTTGTTCTTAAAGCAACATCATAAATTCTTTCAGGGTGCTCATCTGCATTATCTCGGTTTTTCAGCAAAGGCAATTAAAATATATTTTAATTATTTCTCTCCAAACCCTCTCTCCAGCTAGGAAAGTGATTCTGCCTTAAAACAGGCTCCACATTAATATAGCAAATGAGCTATTTAAAAGTGGGTTTATTACAAGCAAATTAATAAAAGGGTGTACTCATCCAGATTACCCCTGAGTAAATTCAATGAAACATTTGCCCAATTCTAGCTGTTACACTTCTGATCCTCTCCAAGGCCTAAACACGGAGCCAAGGCTAAGACAACAGTATTTGCTAGCCAAGAGGTGATGCTTGGCATGAATAGCCCAGTCCCTCCGCTGAACATGACAGCTTTCCTGCCTAGAGGGGGTTGCTTTTCTGCCTTAGATAAGAGGATGCTTGAATATTCTTGTACCTGCTACCCAACTCTTTGTTTTTAAAACACGTCACTCCTAAGAGGACTACTCAGTAAGTAAAAATTGGGAGCTTGAAGGCAAAAATGCGATAATATACAGGAATAAATTAAGCAAACTTTAGCCTGCTGGAGGAAGCGTGATGGAGCTGGCCTAAGTCACCATGCTTAGAAAAAGGCATCTGCACTCCACTTTTGGGAGGGAACAAGTTCTGCTGTGCTTCACCCACAAGGTAATACACTGACTGTTCTTTAATACATTACAGCTTTAGTAACCTTTTTTGTTGGCAGTCATGAAATCATAAATAAATTCACTTACATGTTAGCACAGGGATAAGAGAGATCAGAGCTGAGATAATCGGGAAATGTATCTCTCCTCAAAGGAAGGTTTTGTTAAGTCCCAATCCAAGGAAAGCCTCACACTGTGGAACATTTCACTGCTGTCAAGGGTATTTTAATATTTCAGTCTACTTGACCATTTACTAAAGCACTTCATTTTTTTTTTTTTTTTTTTAAATGCACCTGCACCCATACACTCTTACCTTTAATGCTTCTTCTGGAACTTTGTGTTGAATTTGTTCCAGGACATACATGTTTGAATGTACAGAACTCGTTAAGGAAATGGCAAAGTCATCGGATGGACAGAGAAATCTAGCATTTAGTCATGAAAAGAAAACAAGATCATGAAACCAGAGAAGCTTAAAATATGCAAGGTACTAAGAGTTGCCTGCACTGTATCCCACCATCATCTTTGTCGTGCAATCACACCAGCTGTCCAGACCCATGCCAAGTCAAGGGTAGCAGACAAGGGCAGCAGGGCAGGAGAGGCTTGGGGGAGCACTAGCAGCTCTGTGCAGGACCCAGGGGAGCAACCAGAGCCCTGACACAACTCACACCCGCTCCTCTTCCCGGCTGGCAGCTCCAGGCAGACCACTCTCTCCCCCTGGTATCCTGGCCAAGACAGGGCAATCTTGCACACTCTGGACAAGGGAACAGTAGAGTTCAGCTCCCTGCAGGGATCCCCAGGACTATGGTGCTCTCTTGTCCTGACAAGGCCTTTCAGCCACTGCAGTTTCCTGGATGAAATGTAAATCAGGTCATCAGCTGCCATGACCTCTTAGGAGGGGAGGCGTTCAACATCATTGAGCCTAGGCAATAATCCTCAGCGACACTGCATTAAAAAAATAAAAAAAAGGAAGCATCTGGCAATGTCATCGCGAACAATCCAATCAGCACAGCACAGAGCAAAGGGGAGGAAAAAGGAAAGATGGAAAATGTTAGACTAAAAATAAACCAAGTGATACTGGCATAGCAGGGAAACTCCGCACAGTCTGTAAGTGAAACTGTAAATGGAAAAGAGAGAGACGAACACTCTTATGCAACAGCGCACAGCTGACTCTGAGACCTCAGGAGATGCTGCCGTCCACACCGAGCTGAACGCAGCACGCACAGAGAGCACTGCTAAAGAGGGTGGCACCGAAGCAGCAAAGGAGAGGAAGAGATTGTAACTGCCATAGCAACTACGCTGAAGTAAAAAGATGACTCTAAACTCCACATTCTTTGAAGTTTTCCTGTTGAGGGCAATAAATTCTACAATTCATAAATGCAATCATTCGTTTCGCATGAATATCCATGTAAGGGCTGCAAGACTAAACACTTCAACTCAGCTGCTTAGTGCTCAGAATTGCTTTCTATAAAAGTTTAAACCTGTATCGCAGCCATTAAAACCTACCCACGCTCTAGGCACTGGCTTACACCTTCGCTAGACTGGAGTTCACAGCAAATCTTCTACGTGTTTCCTCACACATCTAGAGACCAGAAGACACACGGCCAGCTACATCAAAAAAACATTTGCAAAGTTGCAAAGTCAAGGAAAGCTAGAACTGAGGTTGCCTATGGTTTGGCTTCATCACGTGTGCACTGAGATACCACCTTTAACGACATGATCCCAGATAACAGTGCTCGTTTATTGGGCAGCATCCAGTAAGGGGCTACTCAGCATTTTTTCCCCCCCTTGTATTCCTGAACCCTCATCAACTACATCCTGTTCAAATACTGATCAGAAGGCAAATAATCCATCTCCTTTCTTTTGGTCTTCTTTTTGTTTGTTTAAGATTCAGCAACTACCTCCCTTTTAAAAAACAGAAATACCACTGTGAAGTAAGGATTTGTTATTTCTGAAATGGAAAGAGACATAGAGAGACCAAGACCAAAAGTATGTCTCACACGAGGCCTAGAAAACCCTCTTTTCCAGAAGATCCAGGATCATCAGTTTAAGCATCCTTGTTGCAACAGTGAGTGCTCCTGCACTGTCACTGCTTCGAGCCAAGGCTCAGCCTCTCCTCACTGCTTCAGCTCTCCAGGCTCCAGCAAGGTTTGGAGTATTTCAAGGGCTACAGCATGGTCAAGCACACAGTGATTATCATGGAGACAACAAAAGGCAAGACAACAAGAATGTGGCTTTGGGGTCAAGGAGGCACAAGAGTTTTCCAGCCAAACACTTCCTCCTCCCTCAATGGTAAAACTTAGTCTCTGCCTCTATTCTCAGAAATGTCTGCACTTTTTAAACTGAAATTTCCCCACAAAAGAAAACAGAAACCTGGAGAAGACACTTGCTACTTCTAAATTCAGCCTGAGTGGGTAAAGTTTGGCAGATAGGAAGCAACTGAATAAAAGGATTAGATTACATGACAAGCCAGCAATAGGAGCCTCTACTTGTCACTGCTGTTTTGCAGGCTCACAAAGGCATTTCAACATCTATGCTTACGGCCAGTCATACAGTCACATCAGAAAAAAAAAAAAAGGGGATGAAGGCAAAGGTGTTTTAGCACACACTAGCAGGATTTGTGACTCTGTAAACAAAGCAGTAACTGCAGCCTAGCCTCCCTCAACAGAGGTGAAATTTGGTATTGCTAAAGAGAGATTTACTCGTGCATTCTGTGGCAGAAGCAATTTGCACGGGCAAACTTCAATCGATACGGAGTCAAGGGTCTGACCACAAGCCCCAGAGCTAAAGGTTTAAGGCTGAAGACCTGCAAATTGCCTAAAAGCAAGCATTTGGGTGAAATGGTTAACAAAAACACACAAGTTGGATGAAAAAAAAAAAAAAAAAAAAAAAAAAAGGAAGACGTTAGTTCATACAAAAGCATATGAAATACGTTTGCTTCCAGCAGGTACCAGCTACAGTTGCCACACAAATACAAAGAAAAAATGCAATCCTTCCTTAGAAAGAGACTGAAGAGGCATCTCCACAGTCACTACTGCCAGTGCAGGGCCTGATTCAAAGTCCAATGAACGTAGCAGGCATCATGATTAATATGCTCTGAATCAGGTCCATGGTGGAGAAACAAAAGCTTATGAGCCATCCAAAGGCTCCAGGAGGCAAGACAAACACCCTTACCCGTTAGTCACAATTAGCACTGTTAACTCTCCATGCAGCAAACAGCACAAAACCCAATCAAAGACCACATCCCACTCCATCTTCAGACGAGAAGGATATCATAGCCGAAGCGAATGACATCATTCAGTTTTAGGGTGATGTACTTCTGGTCAGGAATCCTCACGTCATTGACGAATGTCTGCAGGAAAGAAGCACAGGAATGGGTTTTGACTGAGAGTATCGAGGTGATGCATCTCAAATGGACAGGGCTGCTGGATGGCACCCATGCCCATCTGCCAACAGCACTGCACACATTCAGGGTGCACTAGCACGAAGTCAGCCAAGCAAGGAGCTAAGTTCCCTAGAAAAATCAGCACCGGCAAGTAGCTCCCATGGGTAAGTTAGAGCACCCCAATTATGCTTCAAAGCAAGGTGCTCTGAAGGGACCTTCCCACCAACTGCAAATGAAATTTTAGTCCCCAACTTGAACACGTAAATGAGGTGCCTGAAGTTAGGAACTTCAGATACTCTCGGTTCTCCTCCACCCTTCACAACTAGTAAGAGCAGCAAACGGTGCAATTCATACTTCTTCATTACTGAGCTGGGAATCAGCTTTCCGCTGGATGTCAAACAAGACTGGTGTCAGCCCCGAGGCCTGATAATTTAACAAGCAAAGCTTATCACAGAGGAAGGGGGAAATGAAAATGGACAGGAAAATGAGCACTTGCAGTGGCATCGCCATTGCCCAAGACACCACATATCAGTAAAACAGGCCCCTCGCGTAAAAGATTCACAGACTCGTTTTTCCTATGCTCCAGGCAGTTTATTGAGGCCCAAAGAAACTAAGTCATCCTTATAAAGGTTCAAGAAACATACTTCATAGCTGTGAACAAACATCTTGGAAGTCTCAGATGCCTGCTTTCCGATGGGACCCCCCTAAGGAACAACTCTTGCAGAACAATGGAGGAACAAATCAAACACGCATGGACATCTTTCACAAATAAACCCATGTACTTTTGTAATAACCCAGGCCAAATAAAAATAAATCAGGAACTCAGTTGAAGCAGCACCAGCATGCTGATGGAGATTAGGCACTCAGTTGCACCCAGGAGCAGTCACAGGACACCCTGCCTCACAAGGTGGGAGTCACCCAGCCTCACAGACCAGGAACCCGCTGCTGGGTCTTTGTAGCCTCAATACAAATGCAGCTACGCTCTGATGAATAAAAATTATGCTAGAAAATGAATTTACATGCTTTCACCACTGAGGCAGAGTCATCTTCTGACTTCTCACCTCAGCCAAGCCAAACATGCATGATAAGACCAAGCATTAGCCACAGGGGAAAAATAAATGCTAGAGCAGGAAACTAGAACCTCAGCAGACAAAAGCTCCCAGCTTCCTGGCAATTTACAGAAGAGCTGGGGAACAGGCCTGTAATTTCAGAATAAAAGCGGTGAAGCTGGTTAAGAGGCATGGAATTCCTATTTGCATGAAGTTTTTTAATATTTAAAAATTCCGCAACAGTCAGGTCTGGAACAGGAATAATTATTTGCTGACTTTTCTGCAAAACAAAAGTATGCAAGAAAATGCATTACCATGTTACCTACTGGTCCCTGGTTATTTCAAATAAAATAACCCAAGGGAACTGCTTATTGCCAATAGAAATGCTACCTTCAAAACCAAAAGACCCTTAATAGAGACTGCAGAATCATCTGAAGATTATAATAAAAACAATGCAAAACATTTCAACAATTAATATGAACCAGATTATCCAGCAAAGCCATATAATGCACTGTTGGCGATCAAAAGTGATTTCTTTAGTTTCAGGGGGGAAAACATGTTTTCATGAAAATTTTCAAATAAGGACTTATGTTTCTTTCATGCAAAATAAATTCAGTTTGGCCATAACAGTCTTCTCCAACAGAAGTGTGTTTGACCAGCTGCAGAAGACAGGCAATGCTGTAACTCCTTTTGCTCCACTGCCTCTCTGAGCGCAAGTCTATTATTAAAATGTTGTAAATTCATATGCTTTAGTATGCGAAGATAGAAGAGAATTAGTGGTACAAGCCTTCCATCTCTTGCAAGCAGAATTTTCAGCTGCTATTTTGTCACCATGAGTTAAATACCACAGGTTTTGAACCAGGGATCCAGCTAGAGCCCAGACCAGTTACTGGAAATACTCCCGTATCAGCAGGGCTCTGTGCCTTCAGCTATTAGGCTGAGAAGGATTAACACTCATTCTTGCTGTTTTCAGATGCCAGAAGAGGCAGAACAGTTGAGGTCTGCTTTAGCCACTGTTTTTGTACACGTTTCTGGCTTCTCCCTGTGGCTTTGTGGCTGTGATAGTGGAGGGTTTCTGTTTCTAAGCCCAAACAATGACTGCAGTAAAACCCCTACTGGGAAGACAATTATGTGAATCTAGCTTAGACCTGCTCCAGCAGAGGCATAGCTCTGCTGGTAGGAAGGAACAGCCAAAAAAGAGGCATGCTATGGCATTAGGACAGTTTTAACTATGATTGTGTATTTAAAAATCACAGAATTCAGGTGGGCAGACAAAGCCCTCACCAAGCTGCCTAACACCACTGCATGAATTGGGACCAGAGCAAGGGTTAAGATTTAGGCAGGCTCAGCTCCTTGTTCTGGGCTCATGTTATCCCTCAGCCTTCACACAAACCAGTCTCAAGGCAGGCAAAAAAGCAGGTTTTATTATTTAAAAAAAAAAAAAAAAAAAGATGGTTTTACATAGTTTCTCCCCAAAGAAATTAAATGCTTCATCATCCCATAAATCACTCTATGCACTGACAACTGAATTGCCATAAGGTCACCCTGCTCATGCTGAACAGCTGCTCCAGAATCTTCACCACTTTAATGTTAACATCCCCAAAATGAGACTGAATTTATTTCCTCCTCTTTTGCAAGAGGCTCTATGATTTTGTGAGCCCTGAAGCATTCTGCAAGGACACCAGAAGAAAGGGAAAAAGAAATACAATATTCACCAAAGCTTTCCTCTTCTAAGATGAGATGCTACATGACCTCCATCTCGGGCCTTGCAAATAATTATGTATGTTTAGCTTAACTCATGCCAACAGTTGCAGTGACCCAGAAGGGTCTAACAGCAGAATTAAGTAAGCACACAAGCGCTTGCAGACTCAGCACGCCGCGTGTTCGCCTCCATCAGCCGGGAGGTTTGCTACTTACGCCATTTAAGCTCCCGAGATCCTTCACCCAGTGCTCATCCTTCTCCTTGTCATAGTTGATTACAGCGTGCTGCTTATCGACACTGCGGGACTGGCAATGAAAGCACAATAAATGTGAGACCAGTCAGGCATAAGAGACACTGTTAATCAAAGCAACATTTAAACATTAAACTAACTTGATATGGAGTAAGGGGAGAGAGGGGAAAAGCAGGAAGGATTAAATATTATTTACTACTATAAATAACCAAAGGATAAACAGTAAATGCTTCCATGGTTGTTTAAACAGTTCACTGAAGACAATACACTATTTGCATGGAGAGGGGAGGGAAGGAAAAAAAAAAAAAATAAATCACTGAAGGCTGTCAAGACTACGCCATAATTTCAATAAATTATATCAATACACACTGAAAACAAAACCACTCAAACTGAAAGCCTGGAGGGCAGGATCTCAGCCAGTGTGAACTAGCAGAGCTCAGTTTTTCACCAGCTAAAGCTGGTGGCCTCATCATTAGGGATGTTCCTATTTGGGATGATTTTTTCTGTGTTTCAAAGAGAAAAAAAATGTTTTTTTAATTTACAAACCCAACATTCACCACAATGTATACTGTTCCCAGGATTATGTCCCAGAGTTGATTTAAATTCTAGGATGTTTTCCAAGTTAGAGGGAGGTTAGTAAACTTGGGATGAGAAAGCAAGCAACACCAGGAAAATTCAAATTTAAAGCTAGCTTTGAGAACACTGAACTGGACAGCAATTTGGTGCCACTGGCTTCGCCACAATGCAAAAGTACCAAATGCACCTTATCTTCAAAACAGAGTACAACAGTT